CTATTATCACTATCATTATCATTATAAATTTGTTGTTATTGTTATTATCATTTTCATTATTATCATTATTATGTTCAATATTACTATTATTATTATTATTGTTATTATCATTATTATTATTATTATTATTATTATTATTATTATTATTACTATCATTATTATCATCATTATCATAATGATTATTACAGTTACTATTACTATTATTATCTTTATTACTATCATTATTATTATTATCATCATTTTAAGTATTATTGTTATTGTTATCTTTTTACAATTACTGTCAATATTGTCATTATCAGTGTCATTATTATTACTGGTATTGGTATTTATATAATTTAGTTATTTTCACAAACATCATTATCATTTTCATTACAATTACTAACACTCCTCCTATCAGTACTACTATTACTATCAACATCATCACCATTATCTATATTCATTTTCATTATAATTTTTTCCCATTTCTCACACATTTCCAGAGAATTTTCATCTTCATTGCAATGATTTACCCTTTTCGTTGTTCATTTGCCAAAGTTGCATAAAGGTTGCATGTCACTGCAAAGAAAAAGAATAAGAATAGTTATGATAATACTGACAGTGATTAATAATAACATTGATATTAAGATTAATGATAGTAATAGCAATAATAATAATAACAATGATAATGACAATAATGATAATAATAATATTAATAATACTTATAATGATAATGGTTCCAATAACGATGATGATGATAATTATGATGATAATAGTAATAATAATGATAACACCACCACCAATAATAATAATAATAATTGTAATGATAATAATAATAATTGTAATAATAATAATAAATGATATATAACTATGTTAATGTGTACATATATATATATACCAAAACACACTCGGTCTTATTCCTCAGGTTCCTTTGAAGCATGAGGTGGCTGATTCCTCTTTTGGTTTGTTTTTTTGTTTTCTAATCTTCATTTTCTTTTTGTTATAGCTGATTTTTTTTATATGCTTTCCCCTTTTCTCGTGCTGTTTTCCCTCCTCCTCCTCCTCTTTTCCTCTCCCCTCCTCCACCACCACCTCCTCCTCCTCCTCCTCCTCCTCCTCCTCCTCTGTCTCTCACTTTCTATACCCCTTCTCTCTTTCTTCTTCTTTCTTTCTATCTCTCTCTCTCTCTCTCTCTCTCTCTCTCTCTCTCTCTCTCTCTCTCTCTCTCTCTCTCTCTCTCTCTCTCTCTCTCTCTCTCTCTCTCTCTCCCCCTCCCTCCCTCCCTCCCTCCCTCCCTCCCTCCCTCCCTCCCCCCTTCAATTTTTTTTCCCTATCTCTCTCTCTCTCTCTCTCTCCTTCCCTCTCCCCCTCTCTCTCTCTTTCCCTATCCCCCCTCTCTCTCTCTCTTTCCCTCTCTCCCTCCCTCTCTTCCTCTCTTTTTCTTTCTCTCTCTCTCTCTCT